ACAAAAAACTATACACTTTATGGCACTCCCCGGGAAATTCTACCCCTGTTTCATATATAATTCTTTTAAATTTAGTCAATTATTTCCCGAAAAATTAGAAGAATTAGAAAAATCGGTTTCCAGAAAATCGGTAGCAAAAAAATGGCCACGACATTTTCATCCCCGGGAAATTCTACCCCTGTTTCATATACTTTTGGTAAAAATTCGGTCCACTAACGAATGAGTAGTTCGCGTACATACAGACAGACAGACAGACAGACAGACAGACAGACGGACGGTACTTATATATATAGATAATTAAGGGGATGCTGGAGCCGTCTGTTTTACCGGCATTTTTTGTCGGCACGTAGCGTCGTATTAATTTGACAGAATTAAAAATCCTTCTCCAGAATTGCAGTACATACATTAATGATTCGGGGAAACTCCGATTTTATATAGAAAACGAGAAAAAATTACGGAAGTACAGATTTCCTTATCCTACTCTTATCCCAATATGGCGTCTCGAGTTGCGGCGAGCTGTCAGCTCGTCACAAGATGTATTTCATATAAGAGATATACCATTGGTACGAACGCGAAAACAAGTTCCCCCGAATTGCACAACAAGAAAAACATCGATAAACCCTCCAAATCAAGATTTGGAAGCGTAATATAAAAGTATAATGTCGGTGTGCATCGTGCGTATGTGTGCGTGCAATGTAGCGTGCTATCCTTGTCTATATCTTTGTCTATACAAGGACAGATATAGTTCGCCGGTCTTCTTTACCGACGCCGATCGAGTTCGGCTACGGCTCCAGCATCCCCTTAATACCCTTAACAATAAAAAAGTTTTATGTTCATTCGCGGCCTTGTTATAAACAATTAAACACGAGCCAATTTCTGCATTTTTCAACCCTTCCTAGTCCCTTTAATTTAACTTCTTCTTTAATAAATAAGCGGATGTAGTACTGAAAATATACCTATTATATAATATTTTAATTTTCAAAGTTGTCAAATTACAAACAAGAATTTTATTGTGACTGCTTTTACAGTTATAAAGTAACTATTTAATGGAAATGAAACCCTATAAAAATTAATATTGTATCGCAATTATTATAATGCTTAAATTATAAAATATTTACATTATCCATGTTTGCCAATACAATATAATTTTTTATTCATATTACATTTTATATAATAGCAATGTTATTATATATTTGACAGGCAAATCAAAATAGCTTCAAATCGATATCGAAATGATGAAATATCGATGTCTTAACAGAAAATACATAATTTGCTTGTTTACAGTCTGGCGCGATAAATGTATGTCACAAATAATCTCTTCTTTTAAAAAATGTCATATAGCACAGACATCGAAATATGCTTCAAATTTCGAGCATTGTTTCGATATGATGTAATATCGATGATTTCGACGTCAATTAGACGTCAATTTTATGGGTCATTTCTCGCTGGGTACAGAGGTTTTATGGAATACATAATTATATATTTTCATACATAGCCATATAATATTGTTCAAGATTATATTTCCATTTCTTATATGACCATATATAATTATATATCTACTAATATGAACAAATAAGAGATATTTTTTCCCGAGTATAATCATATATGCTCATATATGGCCATATATAATTATATACTCTCATATATGGCCATATAATATTGTTTAAGATTATATTTTCCATTTCTTATATGATCATATCTACTAATATAAACTATGAATTAATATGGACAAATAAGAGGGTCTTTTTCCCGGGAATATGCATAAAAAAACAGGCTTTCTCAGAGAGAAAGCTTTATGAGCAAAATAAAATGTTGATTAAGCAACGTGCAAATTTATAATTTGCATACTTATTAAAAATTATGAGGAAACAATGTGCAAGTTTCTACTTGTTTAAAGCTCTTTTTATTATCGCTTTTCTCTAAGGAAGCAGTATCGCATTTTCTTTTACTTTTATATTCCGTATTAGCACGTATATTTCACGAATTAGTTTCAAACGTGACTCCTAGTGAACACTTTCGTTTTATCTCGTTTTGGAAATGATTGAACTTTATATTGCTTTCAACTGATAAAAAAAAAATAAATAGTCCAGGCAATGAACAATATGTGAGAAAATGAGATGTTGCTACTTCGATGTAATTTAACATAGCCTAATTTCTACAAACTTCGAAATTTATAGGATGTCGGATGTAAATAAAATTGCCAAGAGGTATATAGTGCTGTTGATAAAATGTGGATTCTAGAATTCACACATACATGATTTTTGAATCGTTTTATCGTCCATTTGATTATAATACTCATTGTCAGAAGTTTAAAGGAACGGTAAGCAAAAAGTTTTCATGATTAGAAAGAAAAATTACATGAACAATTCCATTTTTTCTAATGTATTTTAATTTTGGATAACGATAAAAGATATAAGATTTGTTGGCGTATGATTTTTCATCGTATATTTTTAATATCTTTAAAGTAATCCAAATCGATCGCTTGCTGTTATGGCAAAAACCACGAGTTAATATATATATATTTTACTATTTTGTTAAAAAGTTGTATGACAGAGAAACTGTCGTGGCCATGAGTAAATACATCTTATGATTTTGTTAAAAAGCCGAATGACAGAGATGTGTTGAAGTTATCAATTGAAGGATCGCAGCATTGTGAAATAAGACATCATTGTTTTTAGAACCTTTGAGAAGAACAAAATCAAAGTTTTTTTTAAGTATAGAATGATATTATGGAGAGTTGTGAATAGAGTAGTACAATTTGCTTACCTTGCCAAAGTTTTCAATAGTCAGAGGCACGACCTTGCCAGCAGTTATTTTGCATGGTAACACGCTTCTATTCATAATTAAAAAAAGAAGTTTTCGACATCGCCTCGAAGTATAATACCAATTTGATTTGCAACTATAACTCGGAATAAGATTATCTAGGTGTCATTCTAATTGTAAGTAAGAAAAAATATATAATAAAGCCAAAAAACGTTCACCGTTATTACACGTTTTTTTAAGAAAAAAACTTAAAAAAACGACAAAAAGATTATAAATTGCGTGTATCATGTCTGGAAGAATTACGATAATTTTATAATGCACTAAAAAAAGTTACATTCTTACATTGATTCGTAAGGAAGGATGCTGTAATCTAAAAGAAATTGAGCCGGCCAGAACTGCAGAAAGAGATGAATGAGTTGAGCGATATAGATAGCGAAAGGTTCCACGATATCCTTTGCGTCATTCAAATTCAAGACCACCTGAAATACGCTTTTATGCAACACGTGCATGGAAAGTGCCCCATTACGCACGCTACGCGTGCGTGATAGACCACTTTCCAGGCACTTGCCACATAAAATAGGGAGTGTAAGTCGTGTGTAAAGATGAAAATTCCCGGGTGCGGTTACCGCACTCGCCTTCGGCTCGTGCGTAAACTCCGCACGAATATCTCATTCCCGCACGGCCTCGAGTGAGAAATCTCTCGCGCGTGCAGAATCGGCCATCCGTCGCACAGATGGCGCGCGCGCAATAGACCACTTTCCACGCACTTTGTAATATAAAATAGGGTGTGTAACACGTGCGGGTTGAGAATTGGACACTCGTGCGGGTGATCGCACTCGTGTCCAATTCTCAACTTCCCGCACTTGTTACACAATAACTATTAACAGATTCCTGCAATTCCAAGGATTTTCGCGAGAAATGAATTATCTTCAAGGATCGACTTCTTTTCGGTTGCAAAATTTTTTTTAGTTGAAAATTTTATTACGAAATTCAATATAAAAAAACCATTCGCATACCTGTATGCCGATCATACTGCCGCCAATCATGTTCAGGCAAACACTGACCAGGAATATATTTGTGAACGTAGATTCGATCAGTTCCGCGAATCTGTGAAATTGTGAAAAACAACGCGATTAAAGGCAATATAAGGATTAAAGTTGTGCGTCTCGTTATGGAGCTATTAACACGCACTGTATCACATGCAGATGCCTGCGCAGGCAGCCCAAAGCTCTGTTGTAATTGTCATCTTTTACCTTGTCGGGTTTCAGATTGAAATTGCTGTTGCTGTCCTTGCCAATGTGTTCCAGCGTGTGTCTGGAAATACGCTCACATGCGATAATGTTCCTGGCGAGATCAAAACCAACCGTTTTCTTCATTTGGACTGAGCTCAAAGCGGGTCAAAATAGAAGACGAGATATTAGAGCGTATTTACGATCAAAAGTGACGCGGTATACTATTTACGTCCCTTCTTTTATTTAATATTTCAATTTGTAATTATTATCAATCTTGAACGCGATACCCTTACCCAACAATTGCGAACATCCCGCACGCGTGCCGAATCAAAGCGATATAGCAGGAGTCAACTGCGATCGTGATGCTGATGTGGGAGAATACTGCTAGATAACAATGCATCGCCATGGGATACAAGTACTGGTCTAATGTTTTCCCGTATTCCACGCGGAGGGGTAGCTTAGCTTCTGCCACTAGGGAAGACACCGTCGCGTCCGAAGTATCCTCCAGCAACATCACCATGAGCGATTTCGTTATGAGGAGGATTCCCACGGACTGCATGAAGACTGGAAATCGACGTATACGTTACACCGAGCGATCGCTTAAATCCTTTGCCGAATCTCAAGAGAAATGTGTAATATCTTCCAACGAAATTTTCACGACGTACTTCCGTACGTTAGCGTGATGTACCACCCATATGTGGTGTGTCGCCGTAGAATGGCCCTTTCAACATCTGTATTCAACGACAACCAATCGTCCTCCATCGTTCTGAGACAAGTCTTCAACTATAAGTATTTTCTATTAAGAATTTTCGACCAAAATTTTTATCATGCTAGTCACCTTATTGAACTCGTGCACGATTGCCACATACTTTCCTATTATTTATCATCAACCACCCTAATTTGAAGCTGAATATTATGGTAATCCACATCGACGGAGTGCATGAGAACACATCGTCGATATCTGTCGCGGCGATTAGAAGATATAATAGCTATGTCAATATTACAGAGTATATTATATTTTAATATATATTAATATATAATACAATATATGGGGCATTCCATGTCAAATCACCGAGGATTTTCCTCGATCATTTTTTATTTAACGGAATTTTTTTTGTATTTTTATACTAAATGAAAGTAACTTCCATGATTTTTTTTTTAGATTTTTATCTCTACCCATACTATGGATAGTTATGGATTTAAAAAAATACAGTTAAATTTCAAATGCTTGTAATTTTAAGAAGAAAAAAGATATTGTAAAAAATAAGGTAATCTTTTTTTCGTTTTTTACTGTTTTTTTTTCGAAGAAAATATTGAAAAAAATTTAATGGACAATATAACTGTTTTTTTTTAGGATTTAAGAAAAAAATATTTTTTTTCTCAATGCGACCGTTTTGATATTTTTCAAAAGAATCTCACAAATCCTAGACTTAGTTTCGAAATTTTCAAGCCATTGGAGAGAAGATGGGATTTCAATAACTTCGATTTTTTAAAGGACTTTTTCTTTATTTTTTTCGAAAATAATTTTTTTTAAATAAGATAGACTCTACCGATGGCTATCAAAAAATTTGATAAATTTATAGACAGCAATCCTGAAATTTCGATCTATAGATAAAAAGGAAATTCGAATATTTTCTATTTTTTAATTGCATTTTTACTTATTTTTATTATTGAATTACTTTTTTTTAATGAAATATTATAAATTGGGGAACTTAACGGATAGCATGTGACAATTAAATCATGTAGTTAATATATATATTTTTTATTTATTTTATGTTTATTTTTAATAAAAAATGGTGTGTCACCGTAACGAAGGATTTTTCAATACTGTCACTAGACAGTTTGGACCTGAGACCACATCATTATTAAAATCTTGGATTAACATCAAAATCAAGACCATCTCAGCAAACCAACAGTTGAAATTCCTGCTCCGTTGTAGATCTGACGTCCTACCTCCACATTTACACCGGCTACGTTTAAATATCGAACTACACAGTAATAGGGTTAAACATGAGTTTACTCTTTTTAAAAAACGTATACGGCTTCTCAATTTCGAAATTAGTGATGCGAATAACAACTTATGCTTTTTGCGATCTAAGATAATCGGTGTTGAGAACCAACTTCGAGAGCGCTTACCCGAATGTTTAATTAACAACTTTTTTATGTTCAATACTAACTATCTCCGTACTCACGACCGTAAAACACAATTAAAGTTAATTAGTAAATTTGATTCTGTTATGGCCACACAAAATCCAACTATTAATTCTCTGCTTAAAATCGACCATGAAAAATGGATTATCAATATAAGTAACAAGCAAATCCCGAATAGAGTTTTAAAGTTCCTTAGTCTTGGCGATAGGTTTGCTCTACCTATTGATACTAATGACAAGAGAGATCATGTAAATTCGGTTGTGGACATAATTAAAAACTTCGAATTTAATATTCATCAAATTCCCGACGATATTGTGGATGAAGCGTGTGACCGGATTTCCAACTCATTGTTTAAATTTTTGCGCAAAAATAAACATACAAATTACATAGACAGGTTCATATTACAAGAACTTAAATTTTGCAAAAGATTTCTTTGGGATAATGATGATGTCTTTGTTACCAGAGCAGATAAGGGACAAGTCACAGTAATTATGGAGAGAAATACGTATGTTAATAAAATGACTGACTTACTTAATGATAGTTTGACTTATAAGAAACTTAAGAATGATCCTATTAAACGGATAACATCTAGAATTAATACTTTGGTGAAGTCTTGGTTTAACAAGGACATTATCAGCGAACAATTGTTTCGGCTATTAAACTGTACTAATGGGAACCTCCCACGATGTTACGGACTTCCGAAGATTCACAAAGATGGCTCACCTTTGCGAATTATCGTTTCTACTTTGGGGAGTCCTCTTTATAACATGGCTAACTTTCTGCATAACATCTTAGAAAAATCCGTTCCCAAACCTGAGTCATATGTTAGGGATGGCTGGTCTTTTGTTGTGTCACGTTCTGACTGTTATTATTCGTCCGTTTTTTGGTCAATGCATTTAAGCAATTTACCAGGGATTTGGACAAGTCGTGTGAAGGATATTATTATTATTAGCGTTATTCGGGACCGAAAAGATATCTGAGTTTATAAACTTGTAACGAGAATCGCTTTTATCTATTTGATTATAATTAGGATAATCAACGTCGAAATCGTCAGGAATAGGTTTAAATGGAGGTGCGTTTTGTTGGATTTCTATGAATGAATGAGTAGAATTGATATCGAGTCCTTTTTTATTCTTTATCTGGACATACAATGTATACGACTGCTGTGTAGCACGACTAACAAACTTCTCTAGAGACGCACGCGTGTACGCACGCTTCAGTGTTACCACACGCACGGTAGACGCAGCGCCGCGAGCACCCCAGATTACGCGCTAGATTAGAATAGCATATCCTACATTTCCTCCCCTCTTTCACGATAGCGGTTCGCCCCCGGTATGAATCTCTGAGGTGGCCGCCTCGTACGAGTCGATCTACGAAGTACTGGAATGTCCTGCTCTCGCGGTGGACTTACTGGAGGAGTTGATGATTCCGATGAAATCGTGATATATGACGAATCTGAATTGACACTTGATGAGTCATCGGTATTGGGTGCTGGCTTTCTTGCTTGAGGGTCTTCGTAGAAATTAATTCTTCGAGAACGATTATAGTTGATATCCGATGTACTGGCTTGTTGTCGGTTTTCCTTCATCCATCGCGTCCTTATTTGGTCGACATGCCGCTTGTAGCGTTTACCATCGTAGTCTATCTCATAATGTAAATCTCCCAGACGTGTAACTATGGTACCCGGTATCCATTTATCCATGCGAGGGTTATTCGATAAGAAATAAACCTTCTGAGTGGGCTGAAATTCACGAAATGTTGAATTTGCATTCGCCACGCTCTGTTGCTTCTGTGTGATCTTCACGTTAATGGAATCCGGTTTTACTAGGTCTAATCTGGATCGTATTGATCTTCCCAAGAATAATTGAGCTGGAGACTGACCTGTTGTCGCATGTGGTGCTTTCCGGTATTGGCATAGGAATTCATTCAAGTTATGTTGAAGGGATCCTGGCGTCGTTGCCATAGTTTTTAACGTGTTTTTCACGGTTTGAACGTAGCGTTCCGCTTGACCGTTTGTAGATGGATGATACGGTGCTATTAGTTTCTGAAACTTGACACCCCTTTCCTGAAAAAATAGTTTGAACTCTGTTGCGACAAACTGAGGCCGTTATCAGAAACGATTGTGACTGGAACTCCGTACGTAGCGAACAGTTCTTCTAAGATAGCGATAGTTGCTGATGTCGTCGTAGAACTTGTCGCTTTTACCTCTAGCCATTTACTATATGCATCAACGATGATGAGCAGCATTTTTCCTGCCACTGGTCCCGCGTAGTCGATGTGTATACGTTCCCAAGGACCTTTTGGATACTCCCAGTGATGATGCCTGTATTTCGGAGATTCATTCGCGTTCTTTGAACAATCTGCACAAGTTTTGGCCACTTCTTCGATAGCCGAATCAATGTCAGGCCAGAAAACGAATGATCTTGCTAAGCCTTTCATCTTGACTATACCTATGTGTGCTGTATGTAGTTCGCTCAGTATTGCTTCTCTAAAAATTGGGGGTATCACAACCCGATGTTCGAATACTAAACAGTTGCTCCCCAATCTATGGTTGGCTTCCGGTGCTTTGTATCCGTAACGAGATAATTCTTGACCTGATGCTAAATGTTGAAGTATTTTTCCCAAGTGAGGATCCTTTCGAGTTTCGCGTGCAATATTCTCGGCTTTAATTGGAAGTTGTCTGATCTGGTGTAGGACGAAATGATCAAACCCATCATACTCTATCTCTTTCTTTTCTTTGAAAGAAATTCGATGTGTAGTAAGCGTGGATGCTGGTATATGTAGGTACTCTTGAACAATACTGCATTGGTATTTTCTCCCGTTGGCTTGAATACGACATCAAAATCAAAGTGTGCTAAGTAATCGGCGTAATTGGCCATTCGACTAATACAAAGAGTAGGCAAAGACTTCTCTGGATGCAAAATTTGTGTTAAAGGCTTGTGATCCGTTATGATCGTAAAGTGTCGGGCGTAAAGATAATGAAAGAATTTCTGAACAGCCCATACTATTGCTAAGGCTTCTTTGTCAATCTGCGGGTAGCGTTGCTTTGTAGCGCTCATTGTACGACTTGCATATGCGATTGGTCGTTCTTGTCCGTTGTTCAATTTATGTGAGAAGACGGCTCCCAGTCCTGTTCTGCTGGCATCTGTTGCAAGTAACAGCGGACGTTTTGGATCGTATGGCATTAACACTTGAGGCGAAGTTAAGATATTCTTGATATCTTTGAAAGCTTCTTCAGCCGTTGTCGTCCATTTCAATGGGTTGTTGCGCAACATATCCCTGAGAGGTCGATCTCTTGTGGATAAATCAGGAATGAAGGAACTATAGTAGGTGGCTTTGCCTTGAGATTTTATGTCCCAGGAATTCAATAGCTGATGTAGCGAATACACATTTTTTACGATTGAGATGTAGGTCTTGTTCCCTGAATCTTTGTAGAGTTTCGTCCAGAATTTGTAAGAGTGATTCAAAGTCTTTTGCATAAATGTAGAAGTCATCGTAAAAATTCTTAATGTTTCGTAGGCTTTTTATCATTTCTTCCGTTCTTTGTTGCCAAATCGCAGGAATGTTGGCTGCGCCGTAGACTGCTCGAGTTGGACGAATTAATCCATGCGTTGGCGTGTTGAGAGTAAGCATATGGCTGGATTCATCGTCAAGAACAAGATGAGAGTAAGCATCCGAAGCATCCAGATGACAGAAGATTTTCGCATCTTCTAATTGGCTAAACAGATGTTCCTTTTTCGGAATTGGATGTTCGTCTACAACTAAACGGGGATTCACTGTCGGTTTATAGTTACCCGTAATACGCAATTTACCATTCTTCTTAACTACTACATGAGTT